GTAATAATGGCTGGTCTGCTTTCTTTAGCAGTGAAATGAGTGGGTTGCTGAATTCATTTGCCTATAATACAGGTTGAACGGCACCACAGTATATGCGCTGCCAAGCGAGCACTCAGCAATGTTACGGGATTTCCAAGTTGTAAAGAAAAAGGCAAGAAATGATGTCTGCCATTATGGGTTCAGCAAACCTTTCTGGAGCATCTGCTACAAGGAAGCCCCTCAAGAGGAAGAAAGCAACACAGTTCCTGCTGTTGGAGCTGACAGTCTAGTGGGGAGATAAATATTAATTGAATAGTCACACTAAAGACTGTATCTAGTAGGAACTGTTTCTCTTTTTAAAAAATGTATTTGGTACAGGGTCTTCAGGGTGTACAGGGTCTTGCTACACAGATCCAACTCATAGTGATTCTCCTGTTTTTAGCCTCCAAAGTGCTGAGATTACAGGTCCCCCACCACCATGCCCAGTCTCAATCGCTGGCTCAGCATGCCGCAGGGGCGGGGCCAGCACAACATGGTGGGGATCAAACCACAGCCACTGAGGCTGTAGTCCACTGAGCTATCTGGCTGGCCCATAGAGACTGTGTCTGAGTAAATGCCATGTGAATTCCTTCCAGCTCCAGAGCGAACATCTGCTATAACACCCTCCCCTCTGCTCAAGTTCTGGAGGCTGCTAAAGTAGAGGAAATATTCTCAGATTCTGGGGTTTTTTTTTTAGGTAGTGGCTTTTTAGAAGCAACAAGAGGCAGCTAAACATGTGGTGCATCCCTGTAATCCCAATACTCTGGGAAGCTGAAGGCAGGAGGATCACAAATTTAAACCTATCCTGGAAACTTAGCAACTTGGTGAGACTCTCATCTCAGAATAAAAAATAAAAAAGGGTTGGGGATGAGGTTCAGTGCAAAAGCCCTGGGTTCAGTTCTCATTACCAAGGGGGAGGGAGAGACAGAGAGTATTGTTTAGCCTTTCTTTTTGCGATCTTAATATAGCTAAAATTAAGACTTTTTTGAAGGGAGGAAAACCAAGCATTATAAAATGAGAGCAGCTATCCCTTAGCTAGCCCAGTCTGACCCTCCCAATCACTCTATAGTTCCCTGCAAAGTCATGGAGGCTCCAAGAGTAAGAGGAAGCAGAAACGGGCTGGACCCCTCAAAGGGTGCCCAATGTTGCTCAGTCCATCTTCGAGTGGCTACTTGTTGATTCCTAGGGCTGTGTTTATTTGCCAGGAACCTGTGGCAGAACATTGGCTCCTCATTCCTGAAAAGATCGGATCTTTTAAATAACACACCTCCCTATCTATTTTGCTCCTTGAGACAATAATTCCTGGCTCTAAGAAATCCCATCTCCTGGCTGGGGAGATGGCTCAGTGGAATAAGCACTTCCCTGGCAAGTGCAAGGGCCTGAGTTCAATCCCTGGTTCCACCAAAAATAAAAAAAAAATAAAAATAAATAAAAAAAGAAAGAAAGAAAAGAAAAGAAAACCCTAGCTGCTCCAATGACCTATGGATGATTCTTTCAATAACTTACTTCCTGCTAGGCAAGGAATTTACTATCTTCCTCCAGCAATATTAGCCACCCTGTCTCTAGTTCTCTCAATTCTCTGTGCTTGGTGTCTTCAGGGGACAGCAATTTACTTAATTTTGGCAGGTGAAGTCATTAGACTGGCTGAACATGTCCTGTGTCTGGGGCTACTGTGTACAGGTCTTTTAGTCTTGGCTAAGTCAGCTTTCATGCAGACCATAGATGGGGACTGTGGAGGAGAGAGGAGACTGAAAGATATCTCCTCAGTCCTATCTTAGGACTGTACATAAATATACAGGAAAAGGAAAAGCCTTCAAAGAACTTGTGCCGCTAAGGTTCTCCTTTGTCTCTACTCTTTTATGTGAGTATTTCTATCACAGATAAGATGAGTGTTTCTTCTTTTTAGTTTCTTTCCTACAAGTAACTCTGTTCTTGGGATAGAGTTGGGGTAGACTTCTCACACCAAAGAAGAGAGACATGTTCAAAACATGGATGTGCTGTGCATCTGTTTCTAGCTTTGGCCACATGTTCTCAGCCTCACTGACTGTTGATGCTTTTATGCCTTCTGGACCTATTCCCTGTATTTATTACTCATCTTGTGCTACAACTTTGTAGTTTGGAAATGGACAGCATATTCTATGCTTCTTTTAGAACATGAATAATCTCTTTCCCTTTAATTCCAATAACTGGGTGCCTGGCCTCCATTGAATTTTGGTTTAAGAGTGAAAGTTTCAGGAGTGAATTGAGACTGAGTTATGGTTGAGATCTGAAAATAGTATTTGAAAGTTGACCATACTCTCATATTACTGGTTCCAAACTCCTAATGAGAAATGCTGGGATTTTAAGATGTTCACAGAACACTTCAAATCCAACTGGGCTCATAATACTCTGGCTCTGCATTTCCATTTAGATCCATTCAACCTCTGCTTTCTCCTTCAGGCATTCAGTGGTATAGCTGGACAAAGCTTAGAAAGAGAACTTTCAAACCACCTGTCCAGGGGGTCCTGATCAACCTTGTTGCTACTACTGTTATTTTTTGACAGGATCTCACTATGAGGTTCAGGCTGGCCTTCAGCTCACTTTGTAGCCCAGGCTGGTCTCAAACTCACAACTATCCTCCTGTCTCTGTCTCCTGAGTACTTACTCTTGTTATTTTGGGGATCTAAAAAGTACCCCCGAAAGGCTCCCTGTGTTGAAAGTTTGGTTGCTGATAGGCTTTGGAGGAAGGTATTGAATAATGAGGGCTCCAACTATATAAGTGGATCAATCTAGTCATGCAATCATAATTTCATGGTAATATAAGAAGGTGACAGAAATAAGAAGTGAGCTGTAGTTGAAGGAAATGGGTCATGTGCATAACCTTCGGGATTCTAGCTGGTTCCCAGCCCCTTCCTTGGTTCACCCTCTACTTCGTGGCTGAGATGAGGTGAGAGGCTTTCCTCTACCCTGCCCTCCTGCCATGATGTTTCTGCTTGCCACAGACCTAAAAGCAATGGAACCTGCTGACTGTGGACCGAAACTTTTGCAACTGCAAGCCAAAATAAATCTAGCGTCCTCTAAGCTGTTTCTTCTCAAGTATCTGGTCATAGAGGACAAGAGCTAAAACACCACCTGTAATCATAAGAAGGAAACAAAATAAGATAGGACTGCAAGTTCAAGGCCAAATTAGACAGCAAGACCTTGTCTAAAGTAAAAAATAAAAAGGTCTGAGGATGAATCTCAGTAGTAGAGTGTCCCTGGGTTCAATCTCTAGTACTAGGGTAATAATAATGATAATAATAATGATAATGATAATAATAAAGCATTAAGAAAGATACAAAGGAAAACTTGGGAGGACACATGCCGGGAGCTGCTTCCCCTCGTTGCCCACAGCACACAACCAGGAGCCACCCATTCAGTACTTGTTGTGGACCTCACCTCCAAGAGAAAACTAGCCCCGTGCACACAGCAGCAGATGTGGATTAGGGAAAAGAACACTGGATTAAGCATCAGAAGACTCCAGGATCCAATTTTATCCATGAGTAGCTATGGAATTTGGAGAAAGCCATTTAACCCTCTTGAGTTTTTATCTCTTAGTTTGTAAAAATTGAGAAATTGTTGCCTTTCCTCTTCTTCCTGAATTGTGAAAGGTTGTTTGTGAGGGTCACCTGAGACGCTGGAGGGGAATGGCCTTCAGAAGAATACAGTCTGTGGCTTTGCACGTATTAGATTTCTACATACCACTTTCAGACAACTGGAAGTATTTTTATAGGATTATTTCATGTACTTCATTTAGGGCAAAGCTGTTGTGTCTAGAGTGGAAGCCAGCCTGTAGGAGTGCTAGCTATACTCATAAATCTTGAAAACTCCCAATTGTAGGGTGTGGCCACAACCTGTCCAAAAGATTTTACTCTTTTTTTTTTTATTTTTTTTTTTAAGATTTTACTCTTTGCCTCTTTTTTTGTTTTTGTTTTTTTCACTTACGTATTTGGTACAGGGTCTCACTATGTAGCTCAGACTCCTGGTGATCCTCCTGTTTTCAGCCTTCCCAGCACTGGGATTACAGGCATGTGCCACCATGCCCTGACTGGTTCCCCAGCTCATTGTGCCCCCCAGGGGCAGGGCTGCGGATCAAACCCTGGTCCTTGAGCTTGCTAAGGCAGGCACTTAGTCCGCTGAGCTATCTTGCTGGCCCTGCCCTTTGACTCATTTTTTGAAGTTGTCCCACTATTCTGTGGACTTTCGGCCAGCCCACTTTTCCACTTCTGTTATTTTCAGTCTTGAGACCTTTATCGCTTTGGATAAACTATTGTGTAGCCCCATGCAAGTATCCTGAGTCAGTATTTGCTCCTTCACTTTCTACTACATGGACTTCAGCAACTCAGTATTTCTCAGACTTTTCTCCTCTGCAAAATGTGAGAAATTCTGTGTGCAAGGGAGATAGCTTAGTGACATAAGCACCTGCCAGGTAAGTGTAAAAAAGGTCCCAAGTTTGATTGCTGGTACCACAAAAAAAAAGTGAGAAATTTTATCTTTTTTTAATCTAGGCTGGCCTTGAATTCACAGTGATTCTTCTGCTTCAGCCTCCCAAGTGTTGGATTTACAAGTGTGCACTACCACCCCTGGCTTAGAAATATAATCCGTGTGTGTGTGTGTGTGTGTGTGTGTGGTGATGCTGGGATTGAACTCAGGGCTTTGTGCACGCAAGGCAAAGACACTACCTCTGAACCAAGTCCTAGCCCAGAAATGTTATCCTGACTCCACAGAATCAAATGACATGTATAAAGAACTTGACCAAATTCCTGATTGATACAAGTTGTTTTCAGCTTCTCTTTACCTACTTTAGGGGAGGATGTTTACTAGATGCAACTGCCTGAAGGTCATTTACACATCACAGAGGCATTTTAGAATCATGTCAGAGATGTGACCACCCTACAACTGCCGGTCCTGCCAACATTCCTGATCTCACTGACTTCCCTTCTTACTCTTGCTGCTTTGTGCAGGGAACATCATTGGCTCTGGAATCTTTGTCTCACCAAAGGGTGTGCTGGAGAACGCTGGCTCTGTGGGCCTTGCTCTCATTGTCTGGATTGTGACGGGGGTCATCACAGCTGTGGGAGCCCTCTGCTATGCTGAGCTGGGGGTCACCATCCCCAAATCCGGAGGCGACTACTCTTATGTCAAGGATATCTTCGGAGGACTAGCTGGGTAAGCAGATCTTGGAGGCCTGTAAGGAGAAAGGTGGTACAGAAAGAGCCAGGTTGTTCCATTGCTGTCAAATTAACCTTGTGTCCTCTTGATGCTCTTGAGAGTGACCTGGGAACCAGGTTGAACTTTTAATCTCTATGTTGGCCTTGGGCAAGAGTCTATGAGCAAGAACAAGTAATACTTTGTGACAACACTGACCACAGACTGCCGGGAAAAGCAGTCACAAGCTCCTTTTATCTTCACTAAAGGGAGTGACCACCTAAGATACAGTGTACCATCTTCTTGTATTGCCAAAGATAATAGCTTCCCTCTAGAGTCCAATCCCAATCTTGAGTTTTCTCAGCTCCTACAACCCTGCTAAAGAACTCAACCTTCACCCAAGGGCCAAAAGGTGTGGAAGGTGCTTCCCCATTTCCCCAAGCAGTGGCATTAAGTAGCCACACCCAAAACATGTTCTGGCTGTCAGAACTCTGAGGCTGCAAATTTATTCCACCACTGGATGCTGGGGGCAGAGTGGAAGACAAGAGATGATGAAAAGAAAAGGGAGAAAAAGAATGTCAAGACTTGTGTCAGTGCTAGTTGAAACTTAGCTCTTCGTTGTGAAACCACTTTATTGCCATTGCAGAGAGCTACACGTGACTTTTGGAGTGGGAGTGGGACCCAGGAGAGGAAGCCTTCAGCATCCCTGAAAACAAAAATGGTAGGGGGCCAGGGAGAGGTAGCTCAGTTGAATAAGTGCTTGCCTGGTAAGTGCAAGGGCCTGGTTCAATCCCCAGTTCTACAAAAAAAAGAAAACAAAAATGGAAACACTCCCCCTCAAGGCCCTGCCTCTGCTCATGTCTGCCCACCAGCTCAGTCAAGCTTTCCTCTGGTGATTTCTGAGCCTCTGCCACACCTTGGCCCATTGGCATGGTGTCCCGTTCCTCCCCCAGGTTCCTGAGGCTATGGATTGCTGTGCTGGTGATCTACCCCACCAACCAAGCTGTCATCGCCCTCACCTTCTCCAACTACGTGCTGCAGCCACTCTTCCCCACCTGCTTCCCACCTGAGTCTGGACTTCGACTCCTGGCTGCCATCTGCTTATGTAAGTGTCTTCTGTGCCTTGCTTTCAAGACAGCCTCTTGCCAGGTGTGATGGCATGTGCCCATAATCCTAGCACTCAGGAGGCTGAGGCAGGAGGATCACTGAGAAGTTGAGGCCAGCCTGGGCTACATAGTGAGCTCAAGTTCAGCCTGAACTGCACAGATCCTGTCTAAAAAAAAAAAAAAAGATACCCTCTTTCATCCTCTGGTGTCTCCAAGGCTCGCTCGTTCTCTCTCTCTCTCTCTCTCTCTCTCTCTCTCTCTCT